GTGTATGATGGTCAGACCAGCTCTTTGGATTGCTGTGAGGAAGAGGAGGAAGAACAAGGTACCTGTGACCCATGGCAGTCCAGACCTCACTGGAGAAGAGATATTCTTCCCATTCCCATGTAATGTTATTGAGCTTATTGGAAGAGATACAAATGTACCCAGTTCTATTTGAAAAGATAACATCTCTGTTGAGCCTCTGGGTTTTCACTGTGTTGTACATGTTCTTAGGCTTCAAAAACCCAGGCTTGATTTCAAAACTTGCTGGCATCTCTGGTTTCCTATCTGTGGAGTGATCCTACTGAAGGTCCTTGTTGCATGTGAGGAATGGATCCTTCTTTTATTTCCACATTTCACTGAGATTTGGCTCATTCAGTGATTGCTTTTCAGGGAGCAGCGTTGCTTCAGAGACTGAAATCACTGACTCGGGGTCTGTATGTTCACAGAGTGAGTACTTCCTTCTCTCAGGGTTACAAAAGGCTTCCACATTGTCATATTTGAAAAGACTACATTTCAATGGGGGTGGTGATTTGATGAGAGTTCACTGAGAAATGTGAAGAGCTGGAAGCTTCTCCACGTCATTGTTCAGTCCTCCTTGAACCACGGAGCTGTTTAGCTTTCACACATCCTTTGGCAAGGAGTTCTGCTGTGTGCAGAACCACCTCTGTGTGTTTGTTTGCTCCTGTTGGCTTTATAAAGGCTGCTAGAGATTTAGCAAAGATTTACATCATGCCTGAGAGTGTGAGGGGAAGGAATAAAGCATGTTCACAAAAGCTCAGGGGTGAGATCTTAGCAAGGGAAGATGTGAGGAACTGGGAAGGAGTTTGTTGTGCTGACCTGTTTCTAAAGCACAGAAAGCTGGAGGCAGGCAGGATGGATCCCTTGGGAGAAAGAGGGTGAGCAGCCATCTCACATAATGTGCTTCACTGAGGGGACTGTCTGAAACACTTGTGGGGAATTTATTCACGCTACCTCCCTCTTTGCTTCAAGCAGACCAAAGAACAAGCCTCCATAGAATGACTGGATTTAAAATAATAATACTTCCCTATTGAGGGAACTTACTCCCAAAGGACAATGGGCAGGGAAAAAACCAAAACAAAACAACCAGAACAAAACCAACTTTATCTAGACCTCCAGAGGAATAAAAAATCAGGACAAGAGGTGAAAACATTACTGACCTGCAGCAGCAGGTAAAGAGTAAGTCTGGCTTTCATGAAGGCCACGGAGATGCTCAGAGGGCTGGAGCAGCTCTGCTCTGCAGACAGGCTGAGAGAATTGGGGTGTTCAGCCTGGAGAAGAGAAGGCTCCAGGGAGACCTTAGAGCAGCTTCCAGTGCCTGAAGGGGCTCCAGGAAAGCTGGGGAGGGGCTTGGGACAAGGGCAGGGAGGGATGGGATGACGCAAAATGGATCAAAACTGGAGGAAGGGAGATTTAGATGAGACATGAGAAGGAAAGTCTTCACTGTGAGGGTGATGAGACACTGACACAGGTTGCCCAGGGAAGCTGTGGCTGCCCCATCCCTGGCAGTGTTGAAGGGCAGGTTGCATGGGGCTTGGAGCAGCCTGGAATGGTGGGAGGCGTCCCTGCCCATATAGGGGAGTTTGATCTGGGTGTTCCTGAAGATCCCTTCCAACCCAAACCATTCTATGATGCTATGATGAGGCTTTCTACATCCCATGAGGTGAAATGAAGTGTTTGCTGTCAGTGTGGGTGGGCAGCTGCAGCCCCAGTGCTGGTGAGGGACTCTCACCCTGCCTGGCAAATCCTTCTGGTCCCGTTAGATGCAGAGGAAGGAACCGCGGTTCGACACGCCCGGAGCTTGGAGCAGTTCACCCGCCACCCCGTGCTCATCCTGAGGGGAGGATACAGGCTTTTCTCAGCTTGCTATCTTTTTCTGAGGACTCAGAAGATCCTGTGGATGCCTCAGGTGAGGTGACACTAATTAGCATTCGTGTTCAGCTGAGGATGGCTAATGAATTCAAGTGAAATGGGGGTGCAGACCTGGCATCGGGGTCATTTCAAACAGGAATTAAATGCAATTTGAGTTGCTGTGCTTGCCTTGAGCCTCACCACTCATTCTTTTACAGCCACACTTGGCCTTCTTGATCCTTCTGTTGCATGAAAGGAAGCTCATGAAAACAAAGGGGGAAGGTTTCTCTGATAACCCCAAAACTGGCCCACTGGAGAGTGCGGATAACTGAGCAAACAGAAGCAAATGATGAAAAGAGGCAGGTCCCTCTCTGGCACGTGGCTCTCTGGGATGTGACACAGTTCATGTTTTCAGGCAGAAGTACAGTCCCTGTCTAGCACAAAGCACGTGCTGCTAACCTGTGGGATGCTACAGTGCAGGGGAGAAAACCAGTTCATTTTGTGCTTCTCTTGTGAAGGGCAGCAAACTGCTGGACTCCCCATCCAGATCCATCTGGACACAGGGCACCTCTTTGCCTCTCTGTTTAAGCTTTTTCCTCTGTTGCTTTAAGTGGCCAGGCTGCTGCTTTCTTCTGCATTAGCCTGGTATCAGGGAGGGGTGCAGAGGCAGTGCCAGCTACCTGGGTATTTTTATTCTCTGCCCTCACACTGCAGGCACCAGAAGCAGCTGTGGCCTCATGCTGCGCCCCTCCAGGACACCTGCAGTTCTGCAGGGGACAGATGTTTTCATGCAGCTCTGCACCCTCTAAACTGAGCCTATGGTTTCTCTCTGGCAGGAACTAGACAACTTCAAGCTATATCCTGTAGAAATACTGCCTGCAAGGTTATATATGGGCAACATCAAGCAGGCCTCTGATCAACAAATTCAGAAAGATTTGAAGATCAAAGCCGTAGTCAACATCTCAGAACAGCCTGCCACACTGTAAGTTACAGAGTTCAAGGTGTCCCCTCACCAGTGTCTGTGCCTGTGGGACAAGTGAGGTGGCACAGCACCAGAGCCCTGAGCTTCTAGTGGAACTTCTCTTGTTGGCTGCAGATTCCAGTGCTATTTCATGCTCATTCTTCTGACTCTGCTCCCAAGTTAGCCCAGCAGCAATGCAGCCCTTGGCCATGACATGGGTTGGATGTGAAGAGGACTGGGGGCCCTTGGCATTTGAAGTCTATCACAAAGCACCATCCTTTAGGAAGAACCTACATCTCTGAAGAGCTTTCAGAGC